ATATATATATATATATTTATTATTATTTATTTTTTTTCTTTTTAATGCACAACTCTACAACAATAATCTCACTAAATCAGGAAATAAAACAGCATGATTGGCTGTAAGGAGAGCAAAGACAGAGGAAACTCAGAGTTTACTGAAGAAAACCTGGGTAGAATGTTACTATGGTGACTGAAGCAGAGGTTAAAGAAACTCTCTTTGTGAAACGGAAAAGTCAGAGTTTCCCTTTTTTCAGGTTCCGACAACGTGGGAGTTTTTGGTAAACGTGCTTCGTGAAACGGACCCCTGGTCTCAGACTTTTTACTAAAGAAAAAATCTATTTAACCATGTAAAAGTAAAGGACTCTCATCAGCCTTTGTTGTAGGTAGAGGACATACCTTTTAACTGGAGTAGAAAGTTTTCGATTCTGGACAGGGGCTGTGCAATTCAAAAACATATGTATATCTTGATGTTTAATTTAAAAAACAATAAAGATTTATTTATATGTTTAGCACCCTTTTATTTTTTGTATGCAAAACTAAAACCTTAGATTTTGAGTTTACACCAAATTCCAGTTCTCACTGCAATGAATAAGAGATAGGAGTGTAATAAGTAAACAGACAATTCATGGTTCAACAAACAGATTATTAGAAACAATCCATAGATTATAGCTAATATAAACTGCAATAACTCCTGAGATAACCAAAGACTTCATTTATGCTACTAATCTCCAAAAGTTAAGATAAAGTTTTACATAATTAAATATTTTGTATTCTATCCCCTTCTTCCCTGGAAAACTATAACGCTAGACTAGAAAGTGCATGCATCTCCTATATTGCATAAATAAAAGTCAAAACACAGATAAAAGCCCATCTTAGGAACTGGTCCTCGTAACAATGTCAGTGCTCGTAACGGATGAGCTGCTATGTAGTGATGTTAGACCATTGGATGATCTGTCCAGGCGGGCAGGCTGGATAGTTTCTGTTCAGTAGCCTGTTCAATAGGCCACCCCCAGGCTTTGAAGAATCCAGTCAGGTTCATCCCCACAGCCTTGGAGAACGTCTCAGCATAGACGTTCATCTTCTCTGGGTTGCCTTTAGGGAACTTGTCCATCTTATGATAGGCAGCAAACACTTTCTTAAGCGTGTCCCAGCCAAACTTTTCCTGAAGCTAGAAACATTAAAACACAGAGCGTTAGTGAACCATATACGGTAATCAACTAGCCTCGTGAGACCATCCTGATCTCGCAAGCTTTCAAGGTTTCACTCGCAGATCA